TATATATATATAAATATATATAAATGTATGTATATATTTACATACACTTTAGGAATATTATTTCTCGTTTGTGAGAAGAGAAGCCATAGTGAAAAAACAAAGGTCTGAATAATTTGATAATAAAACGATACTGATCGATCGCGTGGTTCTTTTTTTCTATTCTTCTTCTATTCTTTTTTATTTTTTTTTTTGTTGGTTTTTTGAATAATATATGTTTCTTCGTATAGGATATACTATTGTTTTGTAATTCTAATAACAAAATGGATTAGCAGTGAGTAAATTAAACGTTGATCAACGAAACGACGATGACGACAACGACGACAACGATGAACGACGAACGACGAGCAACGATATGGAAGAAAGTATCTTGATAACAGACCTGGAGATTAGATTCCCAACGAATTATTTTCATATCGTCAGCAAGAACATGATTTCTTGGAACTAACCGGCGATTGATTTAACGCAAATCTCTCCCCGTCGGTTTGATCTTGCGATTCGTTGCCTTTCATTATTTGATCATTTTGTAATATCTGAAAGAAAAATCACAGAAAAAAGAAAATATTAAAAAAATAGTAATATTAATTAACAATATTTTTATAATTGAATTTATAATCCTAAAACTGTTCACACATGTGTGTGCTGGTGTAATAATTTTTATTTTTATCGATTGAAAGCTACACGCATTTTATTGGTTACCTAATACTCACATACATATAATTATACATTAATAATCGTTTTATTAAACATTCTAAATTTAAATACGAAGAAAACTATGTACCTGTCAACTATGTTTAATTGCTAACCCGACTACGTAAACAACATCCCATAAGGGTGTCAGTTGTATATCATTATCACCATGATGTCACCTATTAAGTTACCTTGCAACGACAGATATTATACAACGAGGAATAATCAAGATAAATCCAATAATTGTTAGAAAAACGGATAAAAAAAGTAAGAAAGAAAGAAAGAAAGAAAGAGAGAGGGAAGGAGGGAGGGAGGTATGCAACTACATATATTAAATAAAAATCATGTTGATCGTACTTGTGCGAAGAACTTTACGCAACGCCTTATATAAATTAAAAAGTTAAACATGTGTTATTACTTGTTAATAACCACGTAACTAAAACAATTATTAACAGTTGATGTGTTGATATAAATATAATATATATAATAATAATAATACTTAATAATTATATATTTATAATAATATTACCTTATTAACGAGAAACTTTGCTGCCTCCTCGATATTGATATTTTCTTTAGCAGATGTCTCGAACCAACCAACGAATTTTTTCTCTTTACAATACTCGTCCATTTTATTAGGTGAATTTACCAGACCCTCCTTCTGTTGGTCACACTTATTTGCTAAAAGTACACAAGGTATCGGTGATCCATCCGGTAGTTGTACCTTCGAGTCGAGATCTTGTTTCCACTTGACCACCGCATCCAACGTTGAATTTCTCGTCACGTCGAATACTATAAAAGCACCTACTGCTTCCTTGTAATATACCCTTGTCATGTTTCCAAATCTTTCTTGACCTAAAAACAGGTCACATTAAATTTAAGTATTTCAATATTATTATTAACAAAAAAAATAACGTTGTTTCAATATATATTTGATCAGGCTGCATCTTACCTGCAATGTCCCATAATTGGAGCCTGATGATGGTATGGGGATCCCAATTGAGTACTTTCAATGCAAAATCAACCCCTATCGTGGCACGATAATGTTGTGAAAAAAATTGATGCACGTATCTTTTGATGATAGATGTCTTCCCAGCACCTAATTCACCGATCACCAAAATTTTGTACAAATGCTCCCTCTTCTCTCCAACTCCAATACCTGGAGTGTTGTTCTGTGACGACTGTAAACATTCCAATTAAGAACAATGTTCAATTATTCATTTAATTATACATACTTTGTATGTGTTTATTCAATACGTGTCTCTCCGTATATCTTATCACGGTTACAACG